AAGTGGGGAATTTATCACGTTATAAACTCCGATACTAACGTCAGGAATTTATCACGTTATGTACCCAGATACTGAAGTGGGGAATTTATCACGTTATGTACCCAGATACTGAAGTGGGGAATTTATCACGTTATGTACCCAGATACTGAAGTGAGGAATTTATCACGTTATAAACTCTGATACTAACGTCAGGAATTTATCACGTTATGTACCCAGATACTGAAGTGGGGAATTTATCACGTTATGTACCCAGATACTGAAGTGGGGAATTCAACACGTTATGTACCCAGATACTGAAGTGGGGAATTTATCACGTTATAAACTCTGATACTAACGTCAGGAATTTATCACGTTATGTACCTAGATACTGAAGTGGGGAATTTAATACGTTTTAAACTCTGATACTAACGTCAGGAATTTATCACGTTATGTACCCAGATACTGAAGTGGGGAATTTATCACGTTATGTACCCAGATACTGAAGTGGGGAATTTAACACGTTATAAACTCCGATACTAACGTCAGGAATTTATCACGTTATGTACCCAGATACTGAAGTGGGGAATTTATCACGTTATGTACCCAGATACTGAAGTGGGGAATTTATCACGTTATGTACCCAGATACTGAAGTGGGGAATTCAACACGTTATGTACCCAGATACTGAAGTGGGGAATTTATCACGTTATGTACCCAGATACTGAAGTGGGGAATTTAACACGTTATGTACCCAGATACTGAGGTGGGGAATTTTCACGTTATGTACCCAGATACTGAAGTGGGGAATTCAACTCGTTATGTACCCAGATACTGAGGTGGGGAATTTATCACGTTATGTATCCAGATACTGAAGTGGGGAATTTAACACGTTATGTACCCAGATACTGAAATGGGGAATTTATCACGTTATGTACCCAGATACTGAAGTGGGGAATTTAACACGTTATGTACCCAGATACTGAAGTGGGGAATTTAACACGTTATGTACCCAGATACTGAAGTGGGGAATTTAACACGTTATGTACCCAGATACTGAAGTGGGGAATTTAACACGTTATGTACCCAGATACTGAAGTGGGGAATTTAACACGTTATGTACCCAGATACTGAAGTGGGGAATTTAACACGTTATGTACCCAGATACTGAGGTGGGGAATTTATCACGTTATGTATCCAGATACTGAAATGGGGAATTTATCACGTTATGTATCCAGATACTGAAGTGGGGAATTTAACACGTTATGTACCCAGATACTGAAATGGGGAATTTATCACGTTATGTACCCAGATACTGAAGTGGGGAATTTATCACGTTATGTACCCAGATACTGAGGTGGGGAATTTATCACGTTATGTACCCAGATACTGAAGTGGGGAATTTATCACGTTATGTATCCAGATACTGAAGTGGGGAATTTAACACGTTATGTACCCAGATACTGAAATGGGGAATTTATCACGTTATGTACCCAGATACTGAAGTGGGGAATTTAACACGTTATGTACCCAGATACTAAAGTGATGAACGAAAAATGTTATGTATTCAAATATTGAACTGACACAAGGGCACATACTAATACTGACAAATGTGACTGTCATTACACGTAGTGATTAGGAAAACATAAGAATGTTAAACACAAACCACGGGTTTTATATTTAACCCACATTGGTAAGAATCATTAGAGGTGAGGTGAGGTGAAATGGGGTTTAACGTCGCGTCCAACATTATTGCACTTATATAGCGACGTGCATGTACGTGTGTGTGTTTGTGTGGCTGCTTGTACTAGTCCGGACTGATGCCGATTTATAGTGCTAGCTCACTGAGATACCATGCCGCAGTTTAACATGAATATCCCACTCAGACACAGTATACTGACTCCGAGCCGACCAGTCCTTGTTTTAGCCCCTTAATGCCGAGCGCCAGACAGGGTAACAACAAGTACCATCTTTTAACGTCTTTTGGTATGACGCGGTCGGGGATCGAACCCCGGAACTTCCGCTCTCCAGGCGGACGCTCTACCACTAGACCACGGAGGCGGTAAGAATCATTAGAGGGTACGTATGTGTGGTGAAAACTTTAACTTACATTGTAGTCCTACGCGACGCACAACAGTAGTATTTGTGGCGGCATATTGACTATGATGTAACAGTGACAATAGAGGGAGCAGTGATACGCGACAGCCAACGTTGTGCTTTTGACGTCATGAAGCATATGACGTCATAGCTATTGACAATAGTGGGAGGCATAAATACATTATGGTGTGAGTGCACAAATACACACTGAGCTACACTGGGAAGTTTAGAAATTTATGCTTTTGAATTAAGTTTAGGTTTCAAAAGCCTAATGAACATCTGTTCTTTTTCCATTCGTAAATTATTAACAATTTATAAAACGGAAAGACAGGAAAATGACCACTCCCGCATTTATCAATGTGTTTGTATACAACGTACATTTGGATCTCGAATTTGTTGTCTGTGTACAGTGATTCTGTCTTTTAGTTGCATACCAGTTTCTCCAATATAATGCTCACCACACCCCGCACATGTTAAAACATATATAACATCTTTACTGCGACAGTTCAAAGTGTTTTTAACAGTAAACAGTCTATCTTCGCAGTCTCAAATTATTATTGGGCAAGTTCCACATCGAGGTGTGTTACATTTTGTTACACAGACGGTATTTGTATTTTGTGAGTATTTGGATGGACAAAGAATTTGTTAAATATTTTAGGCTGTCTAATGCTGCGTACAAGTTGACACTTAGATAAACATGTTTTCATATTTTTACTTTGTTGTAAAATTGGAAGATTGGCTTTTCATAAGGGGCATAATGTTACAGTTTCTAGGATTCTAGGTACACACAAATGGAAGAATGTCCGTGTCTGTATGTTTCTTTTGTTTTCATTAATGTTTCTTGTGGAATTTTCATTGCTTCATTTACAGATATATATGTATGTGCGTGTGTGTGTGTGTATGTGTGTGTGCGTGCGTGCGCGTGTGTGTGCGTGTGGGTGAGTGTACATTAGGTAAAAGAAATATCAGACAAGTACTTTTTCAGTGACTCACAGATAGACACTTTCATCTGGAACTCTGCGGGTTAAACGGATGTGGAGATTGGGCTGATATCCTACTGTTTTTTATGACAGCCTTAAACTGGTTTCAAGAGAGTGGTTGTAGTTTTTAGCTGAGACATACGAGGTTTATCAGAGGTAAATATTTATTTTCTGGGGCATGCTGAATATGCCAATTTTGAGAAGCCCGCAGACATCGCTTGAAACCTAGTCTAGGATAAATTAATTGACTCAGACCTCATTAAGACAGTCGAGTTGGATTTCAAGATGGCCGCATTCTGGGCATCAGTCAAAATAATCGTCTATTGACATTATTTTAGAGAAAAAGTGTTAACAATGTTATCAGTGTTGACTTTACAAGGTGAATTGTGATGGATCGAACAGATTTGCAAATTACCATTGCATTTGATGTGCAATAACCTCTTCTGTCGCGATACGCTGTAGGCATCAGTGCCAAGCATGGAAGGTATCGTATCTGCTAAACACAGTTAAGAAGACCAATACTATTTTAGATATGTGATACCCGCTTGATGTTGCCCAAATGCTGACAAAACAAATATCTGTTACATAGCGCAATTTTGAGACAAGATGTATGTGTCGGCAGCCAAGCAGTGAAGTCGAGCGGCGGAAACCCTTCGATAAACTCCTAATGAAGTAAGTAAACGATATGATAAACGAAGGCAATTTCTTGTGAGAGAAGCTTGGGAGTAGCGGCAGTGATAGGTAACCGAAGCGACATCTTATCACGACATCGTTCCGCTTTACGTCAATACCTCGACACGGTCGACGGCAACACACAGCGATAGAACATTAAATGGCCAACATTAAATGATTACAACCCGAAGAGAGGTCGAACATCGTTCTGTAGTTCAATACAGGTGTGGGGGGCAAGATCTGGACTCGTAATTGACTAAATTACTGTTTTTATCGACAACATGGACCACGCTGGCACTGAACTCCCGACAACGATCCTTACGTTGCAGTAGTTATCGCGGCCTTGTTCGCACCGTCAGTTTTCACCTCGCGGGATAGGTGTCATGTTCCTGGAAACAGGAAGATGCAGAGGCAATAAATGTGAAGGTCGCCACAACCTCAAAGTGAGCATTAGGCTATATATGATTGCAAAGGTTAAGCGATGTTTTTTAACATTAGTACAAATTAACTTTGTACTGTGCAGTCTTGTGTATCAGTCATGGAATACTTCAGCCCTATGTGGGAAGTCCAAATGACTATAGGAACTAGTGTTCGTGCATGCGTGTTTATGCGTTTATTTGTAGACATATTTCATACATACATAAAAGTTCGGTTAATAAACACCAACGCCGGAGAATAATCAGTCTTGAGAATCTGCCGAAACAGATTCCATTGGGCGTGAATGGCAAACTAGCAGTGAAAATTATATACTGAACAACAAATGTACGTGCGACATTGAATATGATTTAATGCAAAGTAATGTTTTTCACCAAATCTGAAACAATTTCGGTTTACAACAGGTGAAAGACTCATGTAAGTGTTCAAATGGTGAATTTGCCATACTGAAATCAGAAAATGCGGGATTTCATAGAAAAAACATGAACATGCCAAAATGTCAATTTACAAATCAATAGCGCCGTGCGTCCACCTCTGGTTGCGATGCAAGCAACACATCCTCGTCTCATGGAATGGACCACGAGTCGCACAAAGTCCTGTGGGATATCTGTCCATATAAACCTCCAGTGGCAGCTTGTCATTGTTTATCTAGGGTATTCTTTTCTCAAGAGAACCTGCTCTCCGGGTTATTCTATAGAATGACCCAGGGCTATTAGACATAATTTCCGGGGCATTAAAGCAATATATAAAGTACAAAAAAACAATTTTCAAAATTTTATTATTCACTTGAAACACTAATCGTTACATTTACGAGATTGTAACATTGAACAAGACATGTGCCTTGTCCTTGTTCACCGACTCGGTTGTCGCCGTCTTTGCCGTTACCACGCACCCGGTTTTCCCTTCCGATACAGTTGTCGGCGTCTCCGACTGAAGTAGCTTAGGTGCATTTGACAGGATGTCAGACATGTTAGCCTTCTGTACGTCCGATGTACGTTTGTAGCTTCACACAGCTTCGCTCTTGTGACCTTGTTAATATTCTTAAACTGGTAACAAAATGGAGTTTTAAAAAGTATGGAATTAATGTCACATTACTGAAACACTGAAGATACGAGAACAGGAAAATATGACGAATTCATGGGACATAATGTAGGCGTTTTCGTGTACTAAAATTTGTAGTTTTTTAAAAAGAACAAGCAAAACCTTTTGCTAACCAGTTATCTCGCAGATCATCTGTTCATCTACGTTGGCTTGATAAAGCCTTGTAGCAGCCGTGGCTCAGAGTGGTTTGTCTTGGTGCCTTCCAAACCAGCTTTGCACAGGCGCTTGACCGTGGCTTGGAGCGTGTTATGCCCAACAGGTGTCTGTAGGTACCATTTTACATCCTTCGGCATGGTTCGGGGGGTGAAATAGAAGTCAGTCTTCTTTCTGTCTTCACTACAAAAACAGTAAAAATACTAACATCAACAATATAATACGAACATAAGATATATTCCATTTGAGGTCTAATCAATGATTAAACTGGTTACCTGTTTAAGGTAAATAAAAATAAGACGAAGTGTTGAAAGATAACATTCTTCTTCGCAATTTGAATTTGAGTTTAGATTTTTGAAAACAATTTATAATGTAGGTGATATTTCAATAGACCAATTTCGCCATCTTTTGAAGCCATATATATATATATATATATATACCTGAATATCGATTTTAAAGAAAGCCTAAAGTTCGTTTAAGATTGTTGTGTACTTGCAGTTACAGGGGAACATACATAAGATTAATACTGAGTGTGTATACAAAGTACCGATACAAATGTATACCATACTCAACCCACCGGGGTTCGTCTTGGACACATCTTCCGTGTACAGAAGGAACTGTCGCCCGTTCTGGTCCTGATGTGGTCTGGTAATTTGTGGGTTCCTGAACATCCTCAAGGACCTGTGCTCCTTCCCTCCCCTCAGCGCGAAGTGCAGACCTACAAATATACTTGAAATGTAATTATGTTTATTATGGAAACTTTGCTATACAGAACTACTACAAATCATTTGAATTATAAGGTCAAGACAAACAGTTTGCTTTTCTTAAAAACTACTGATCTGGTCAAAATCTTTCTATGTACTTGCAACACACACGAAAATAAAGGAGAGCTTGAAAAGAATTAAAGTGTTTCACATAGTTTCTAATCTTGACTAATTGTGATTTTTCGGTTTAAATGTACAGACTTTCACGGATCAACTATCCAATCCGGGTCATGACAATTTGAATTTCACTCATGGTCAGAATGTGGTCTGTAAAATTAGGTGCAATTTACACTTTCGTTACACAATTTTATATTTTTAAGTAAAACTCGTATCACTTACGTCAACGACAAATACACAAAAATGCAACTTGCCTGTAAGGTACAAAATTGAGCCCAACAGTTGTCTTCGTGTTTGGTCACCCAGCATCCCAGATTTCCAAAGCTGCTCCTCTTCCTCACATGTGATGGGACTCAGTTGGCTTTCTGCATGTTGCCCCCAAACCCTCGGCAGAACGTTTCCTCATGACGGCGTCCAAACACCTTCGACTGACTTCAAACTCTTCGCCTTCAAACATTTATGTGGGAACCTTTAGCTCTGATAGCCGACTGTAGTGAAGTGAATATACCGTAAATAGTATATGATGGATAGTGGCCTCCATCTTGTTTTCGTGCTTCGAATAAGAAAAATTTCAATGCTATACCGATGTTTTCAGGCTTCATTTCCAATATATTTTGTGTCTAACATTCACTCGGAAGATCCAAATTGCAATCCATAGCCCTTTGTCTTCTCTCCTCTTGCCATCTTTGGAAAACCGTAAGGGCCAAGTCGCTTTTGTACCTTGTCGATTTAGGTAGTACACACAAATTTCGAGTTCCTTATCAATGTCTATGCTGTCCAGAGGATCACCAAATCTAAACTGAAACTCACGGTCACTATCATCCTTTTCCTCAATTTCAATAACGCTCGACTGAGTCACAAAAATATCATCGCCGTCTCCTCCCTCCCTCCCTCTTGTCGTGCACCGTACTGCTGACAGAAATGAGAAGACGTCCCACGTTTACGACTTAAATCGCGAACTTCCAGCACGTGCAATTCATGGAAAGTCTGATGCCCGCGCATGTGCTTGGGTGTATTCGTTTTTGAGTTTCCCTCCTCCCTGCATTACAATTATCCAAATACAAAATACCCAAATAAAATTTGTCATGAAAAAGTGCATTTTTCGTATTTTCTGTCGATTTATATGACAGATAAAACACTTCCCCTCGGGTTTGGTTGAAAAGGTAAACACTCTGCCTCAGGAAAAAACCTCGGGCCTCCGGACCTCGGTTTTGTCACTCTGCCTCGTGTTTACATTTTCAACCAAACCCTTGGGGCGTGTTTTATCCTTTACATATCTGCTGGAGCATGTTTCGAAGTTCCTGGAGTGTCTGTTGAACACGTGGTTGACATCGAAGGCGCCGATCCATCTCATCCCACATGTGCTCGATTGGTGAGAGATCAGGGGAGCTAGCTGGCCAGGGGATGACATTCACGTTGTTTTGTTGAAGAGAATCCTGAACAAGTCGAGCAATATGAGGCCGGGCGTTGTCATGTTGAAAGGTAATGCCTGGGCCTTGACGACGCAAAAACGGTAGAACAACAGGGCCGATGATCCCGTCGCGGTAGCGCTGTCCTTTGAGATTTCCCTCTACCACTATCAAACGGGTCGTCTGTCTTGCTGTAATCCCACCCCATACCATAATGCTGCCGCCCCCGAACCGATCTTCTTCCATGACACAATGATTGACGTAACGTTCAACTCGACGTCGGTACACTCGAATCCGTCCATCGCTGTGGCTGGGGTGAAAACGAGACTCGTCCGTGAATAGAACTTGTCCCCACTGCATGGCCGTCCAGCGTAGACGCTGTCTGCACCACTGTAGACGTGCTTGACGGTGGTTTCCTGTCAAAATGGGACGTCTGGCGGGTCTTCTGGCGACAATCCCTGCACATCTGAGGCGACGACGTTCGGTTTGTGAAGATAGTCGTCGAAGGCCAGGGATGCTTCTTGCAGTCACTGTTGCTGGCTGGAATCGATTTCGTAGGTATGTTGTTCGAATCCAGTTATCTTGTCGATTATTGGTTACGCGTGGCCTGCCACTCCGAGGATGGTCTCTGACTGCATTCGTCTGTTGCCAACGTTGCCATAAGCTCCAAATGGTGTTTCTGTGGACGTTAAATTGTCTTGCAACATCACGTTGACTCGATCCTGCTTCAAGCATACCAATGGCTCGCATACGCTCATTTTCGGACAGGCGTGGCATTTCGTAATGTTGAATAATTGCGTAATTTTGTTGTTTTTCTGAGTGGCTGTTGTCAGCACGATGCTAAACAATGCATATGGAATCCCGTTAACGCACATGTTTCTATACCCATTCTTGGGTAGTGAAATGCATGGGGCTTGAATAAAAGTCAACGTTTGCATGGAATGCATGCTTTTCAGTAGGAGTTGCGTTTTTGTGACTTGATTCCATACATGTACTACAATATTGAAAACCAAACTTTACTTGTTTGAAATATACACTAAAATATTGGTGTCACAGAACTTATGTTGTTGAGTATATTTATGGATCAGTGAAAACCAGGAACGGACAAGCATGTCCTGCACTGATGGGCGATATTAAGCTTGACGCTGGAAAGACTTGACTGTCTGGAGGAAAACCACATTTTGAAATCACTTAATTTAACAGCTGAACATGCCACCTTAATACAAATTTAGCGTCAGGAAGCTACTGGCATGCTTACTATGAGGGGACCTGAAGCTTATCAGAGCCACAATCCAGAGGTTCAGGAACGTTCGCAATCAGAAATGATTGTGGTAGGATGACTACGCAGCCTGAAAACCACTATAGCCAAACCACAACTTTTTTTTACTCAGCCAGTGTTCTTGCCAGACAGTTTAGTGTCGCAACCTTGTCCGGGCGGAACCGACCGCGGGATATCGGTTTGCCTTGGACTCGGCACCCTCTTCACCTGTTGTCTTTGTAGACCTCTGTCCATGATGTGCACACTATGTGCGCCACCGAGCTCATCAGTCTAGCAACCCTTGTCAGGGGACTTGGGATATTCGGAAAATGTGTTTGGCATTAGACATTATAATATCCCTATTTTCTCTACAGCTACATACAGACGGAGTATGTAGAGCCGGAAGTATAGCATAGCGTGTAATATTTGGTTGTTTATAAAGATATAATCGAGTTGATATAAACAGGATAACTTCTGTTTGTGATACGGTTGGTGTACGGTTAGAACTGACATAATCAAACTATTTCAACTTTAAACTGATATTTAGATTTGTCAAGTTAACGTTCTTATGTGTAAAATACTGGAGACAAGCACCTGGGCAGGATAAGGAAGTTTACATTGATATTGATAACACATCTATATTTGTATTTAATTTAAAGTGTGGGTCATTTTATCGAGGTGAAACTTTTCAGTTTGACAGATGATGTAAACTCTGTGGTATGAGCATGTGTCATAGAGCATTATATTTATATTGTGGCACGTTTAGATAATTATGAAGACTTAACGGTGAAAATAATGTGAGTAATGAAAGCACATGATGACCACTGTACCGCTTATAACAGTGTAGACCCAAAGTCGGCGCTGCCCTGTTAACACAGCTCTACACAGTATGCCAGGTTATGTCACGCCTGGCCGGTCAAATCCTTTTACGTTTTGCAGGAATGAGATGGTTGTTGAGAGTGAGGTTGCAGGTGTTGAGAGTGAGGTTGAGGGTGAGGTTGCAGGTGTTGAGAGTGAGGTTGCAGGTGTTGAGGGTGAGGATGCAGGTGTTGAGAGTGAGGATGCAGGTGTTGAGAGTGAGGATGCAGGTGTTGAGAGTGAGGATGCAGGTGTTGAGAGTGAGGATGCAGGTGTTGAGAGTGAGGATGCAGGTGTTGTGAGTGAGGTTGCAGATGTTGAGAGTAAGGACGCAGGTGTTGAGAGTGAGGTTGCAGGTGTTAAGGGTGAGGTTGCAGGTGTTGAGAGTGAGGTTGCAGGTGTTGAGGGTGAGGTTGCAGGTGTTGAGAGTGAGGTTGCAGGTGTTGAGGGTGAGGTTGCAGGTGTTGAGAGTGAGGTTGCAGGTGTTGAGAGTGAGGTTGCAGGTGTAGAGAGTCAGGTTGCAGGTGTTGAGAGTGAGGATGCAGGTGTTGAGAGTAAGGTATAGGGTGAGGTTGCAGGTGTTTAGGGTGAGGTTGCAGGTGTTGAGGGTGAGGTATAGGGTGAGGTTGCAGGTGTTGAAAGTGATGTTGCACTTGTTGAGAGTGAGGTTGCAGATGTTGAGAGTGAGGCTGGATGTCTTGAAGGTGAGGTAGCAGGAGTTTAGGGTGAGGTTGCAGATGTTGAGGGTGAGGTTGCAGGTGTTGAATGTGAAGCTGAAGGTGTTGGGAGTGAGGATGCAGGTGTTGGGGTGAAGATGCAGGTGTTGAGAGTGAGGATGCAGGTGTTGAGGGTGAGGATGCAGGTGTTGTGAGTGAGGTTGCAGGTATTGAGACATAGGTTGCAGGTGTTGAGGGTGAGGTTGCACTTGTTGAGAGTGAGGTTGCAGATGTTGAGAGTGAGGCTGGATGTCTTGAAGGTGAGGTTGCTGGTGTTTAGGGTGAGGTTGCAGGTGTTGAGGGTGAGGTTGCAGATGTTGAAAGTGAAGCTGCAGGTGTTGGGAGTGAGGCTGGATGTCTTGAAGGTGAGGTTGCAGGTGTTTAGGGTGAGGTTGAGGGTGAGGTATAGGGTGAGGTTGCAGGTGTTGAAAGTGATGTTGCACTTGTTGAGAGTGAGGTTGCAGATGTTGATAGTGAGGCTGGATGTCTTGAAGGTGAGGTTGCAGGTGTTTAGGGTGAGGTTGCAGGTGTTGAGGGTGAGGTATAGGGTGAGGTTGCAGGTGTTGAAAGTGATGTTGCACTTGTTGAGAGTGAGGTTGCCGATGTTGAGAGTGAGGCTGGATGTCTTGAAGGTGAGGTTGCAGGTGTTTAGGGTGAGGTTGCAGGTGTTGAATGTGAAGCTGAAGGTGTTGGGAGTGAGGATGCAGGTGTTGGGAGTGAAGATGCAGGTGTTGAGAGTGAGGATGCAGGTGTTGAGGGTGAGGATGCAGGTGTTGTGAGTGAGGTTGCAGGTATTAAGACATAGGTTGCAGGTGTTGAGGGTGAGGTTGCACTTGTTGAGAGTGAGGTTGCAGATGTTGAGAGTAAGGCTGGATGTCTTGAAGGTGAGGTTGCAGGTGTTTAGGGTGAGGTTGCAGGTGTTGAGGGTGAGGTTGCAGGTGTTGAAAGTGAAGCTGCAGGTGTTGGGAGTGAGGTTGCAGGTGTTGAGAGTGATGTTGCACTTGTTGAGAGTGAGGTTGCCGATGTTGAGAGTGAGGCTGGATGTCTTGAAGGTGAGGTTGCAGGTGTTGAGGGTGAGGTATAGGGTGAGGTTGCAGGTGTTGAAAGTGATGTTGCACTTGTTGAGAGTGAGGTTGCCGATGTTGAGAGTGAGGCTGGATGTCTTGAAGGTGAGGTTGCAGGTGTTTAGGGTGAGGTTGCAGGTGTTGAATGTGAAGGTGTTGGGAGTGAGGATGCAGGTGTTGGGAGTGAAGATGCAGGTGTTGAGAGTGAGGATGCAGGTGTTGAGGGTGAGGATGCAGGTGTTGTGAGTGAGGTTGCAGGTATTAAGACATAGGTTGCAGGTGTTGAGGGTGAGGTTGCACTTGTTGAGAGTGAGGTTGCAGATGTTGAGAGTAAGGCTGGATGTCTTGAAGGTGAGGTTGCAGGTGTTTAGGGTGAGGTTGCAGGTGTTGAGGGTGAGGTTGCAGGTGTTGAAAGTGAAGCTGCAGGTGTTGGGAGTGAGGTTGCAGGTGTTGAGAGTGAGGATGCAGGTGTTGAGAGTAAGGTATAGGGTGAGGTTGCAGGTGTTGAGGGTGAGGTTGCAGGTGTTGAGAGTGAGGATGCAGGTGTTGAGAGTAAGGTAAAGGGTGAGGTTGCAGGTGTTGAGGGTGAGGTTGCAGGTGTTGAGGGTGAGGTTGCAGGTGTTGAAAGTGAAGCTGCAGGTGTTGGGAGTGAGGTTGCAGGTGTTGAGAGTGAGGATGCAGGTGTTGAGAGTAAGGTATAGGGTGAGGTTGCAGATGTTGATAGTGAGGCTGGATGTCTTGAAGGTGAGGTTGCAGGTGTTTAGGGTGAGGTTGCAGGTGTTGAGGGTGAGGTATAGGGTGAGGTTGCAGGTGTTGAAAGTGATGTTGCACTTGTTGAGAGTGAGGTTGCAGATGTTGAGAGTGAGGCTAGGTGTCTTGATGGTGAGGTTGCAGGTGTTTAGGGTGAGGTTGCAGATGTTGAGGGTGAGGTTGCAGGTGTTGAAAGTGAAGCTGCAGGTGTTGGGAGTGAGGATGCAGGTGTTGGGAGTGAAGATGCAGGTGTTGAGAGTGAGGATGCAGGTGTTGAGGGTTGGGTGTGTTGAGGGTGAGGTCGGATGTGTTGAGGATTAAGGATGCAGGTGTTTAGGATTAAGAGTGGAGGTGTTGAAGGTGAGGTGTGAAGTGAGGATGCAGGTGTTGGGAGTGAGGTTGCAGGTGTTGAGAGTGGGGTTGCAGGTGTTGAGAGTGAGGTTGCAGGTGTTGAGGGTGGAGATGTTGAGGGTGGAGATGTTAAGGGTGGAGGTGTTGAGGGTGGAGATGTTGATGGTGGAGGTGTTGAGGGTGGAGGGGGAGATGTTGAAGATGGAGGTGTTGAGAGTGGAGGTGTGGAGGGTGGAGGTGGAGATGTTGACGGTGGAGGTGTTGAGGGGGAGGGTGGAGGTGTTGAGGTCGAGGATTGAGATGGAGGTGGAGATGTTGAGGGTGGAGGTGTTGAGGGTGGAGGTGTAGATGTTGAGGGTGGAGGTGTTGAGAGTGGAGGTTTTGAGGGTGGAGGTGGAGATGTTGACGGTGGAGTTGTTGAGGGTGAGGGTGGAGGTGTTGAGGGTGAAGGTAGAGATGGAGGTGGCGATGTTGAGGGTGGAGGTGGAGATGTTGACGGTGGAGGTGTTGAGGGTGAGGGTGGAGGTGTTAAGGGTGAAGATAGAGATGGAGGTGGAGATGTTGACGGTGGAGGTGGAGATGTTGAGGGTGGAGGTGTTGAGGGTGGAGGTGGAGATGTTGAGGGTGGAGGTGTTGAGAGTGGAGGTGTTGAGGGTGGAGATGGAGATGTTGACGGTGGAGTTGTTGAGGATGAGGGTGGAGGTGTTGAGGGTGAAGGTAGAGATGGAGGTGGAGATGTTGAGGGTGGAGGTGGAGATGTTGACGGTGGAGGTGTTGAGGGTGAGGGTGGAGGTGTTGTGGGTGAAGGTAGAGATGGAGGTGGCGATGTTGAGGGTGGAGGTGGAGATGTTGACGGTGGAGTTGTTGAGGGTGAGTGTGTAGGTGTTGAGGGTGAAGGTAGAGATGGAGGTGGAGATGTTGAGGGTTGAGGTGGAGATGTTGACGGTGGAGTTGTTGAGGGTGAGGGTGGAGGTGTTGAGGGGAAAGGTAGAGATGGAGGTGGAGATGTTGAGGGTGGAGGTGGAGATGTTGACGGTGGAGGTGTTGAGGGTGAGGGTGGAGGTGTTGAGGGTGAAGGTAAAGATGGAGGTGGAGGTGTTGAGGGTGGAGGTGTTGAGAGTGGAGGTGGAGATGTTAACGGTGGAGGTGTTGAGAGTGGAGGTGTTGAGGGTGGAGGTGGAGATGTTGACGGTGTAGGTGTTGAGGGTGAGGGTGAGGGTGGAGATGTTGAGGGTGGAGTTGGAGATGTTGACGGTGGAGTTGTTGAGGGTGAGGGTGGAGGTGTTGAGGGTGAAGGTAGAGATGGAGGTGGCGATGTTGAGGGTGGACGTGGAGATGTTGACGGTGGAGGTGTTGAGGGTGAGGGTGGAGGTGTTGAGGGTGAAGGTAGAGATGGAGGTGGAGATGTTGAGGGTGGAGGTGGAGATGTTGACGGTGGAGGTGTTGAGTGTGAGGGTGGAGATGTTGATGGAGGTGTTGAAGGTGAGGTGTGAAGTGAGGATGCAGGTGTTGGGAGTGAGGTTGCAGGTGTTGAGAGTGGGATTGCAGGTTTTGAGAGTGAGGTTGCAGGTTTTGAGGGTGGAGGTGGAGATGTTGACGGTGGAGGTGTTGAGGGTGAGGGTGGAAATGTTGATGGCGGTGTTGAGGTCGAGGATGGAGATGGAGGTGGAGGTGTTGATGGTGGAGGTGTAGATGTTGACGGTGGAGGTGTTGAGAGTGGAGGTGTTGAGGGTGGAGGTGGAGATGTTGACGGTGGAGTTGTTGAGGGTGAGGGTGGAGGTGTTGAGGGTGAAGGTAGAGGTGGAGGTGGCGATGTTGAGGGTGGAGGTGGAGATGTTGACGGTGGAGGTGTTGAGGATGAGGTTGGAGATGTTGACGGTGGAGTTGGAGATGTTGACTGTGGAGGTGTCGAGGGTGAGGGTGGAGGTGTTGAGGGTGGAGTTTAAGATGTTGACGGTGGAGGTGTCGAGGGTGAGGGTGGAGGTGTTGAGGGTGAAGGTAGAGATGGAGGTGGCGATGTTGAGGGTGGAGGTGGAGATGTTGACGGTGGAGGTGTTGAGGGTGAGGGTGGAGGTGTTGAGGGTGAAGGTAGAGATGGAGGTGGCAATGTTGACGGTGAAGGTGTTGAGGGTGAGGGTGGAGGTGTTGAGGGTGAGGGTGGAGATGTTGAGGGTGGAGTTGGAGATGTTGACGGTGGAGTTGTTGAGGGTGAGGGTGGAGGTGTTGAGGGTGAAGGTAGAGATGGAGGTGGCGATGTTGAGGGTGGAGGTGGAGATGCTGACCGTGGAGTTGTTGAGGGTGAGGGTGGAGGTGTTGAGGGTGAAGGTAGAGATGGAGGTGGCGATGTTGAGGGTGGAGGTGGAGATGCTGACGGTGGAGGTGTTGAGGGTGAGAGTGGAGGTGTTGAGGGTGAAGGTAGTGATAGAGGTGGCGATGTTGACGGTGGAGGTGTTGAGGGTGAGGGTTGATGTGTTGAGGTCGAGGATGGAGATGGAGGTGGAGATGTTGAGGGTGGAGGTGGAGATGTTGACGGTGGAGGTGTTGAGGGTGAGGGTGGAGGTGTTGAGGGTGAAGGTAGAGATGGAGGTGGCGATGTTGAGGGTGGAGGTGTTGAGGTCGAGGATGGAGATGGAGGTGGAGATGTTGAGGGTGGAGTTGAGATGTTGACGGTGGAGGTGTTGAGGGTGAGGGTGGAGGTGTTAAGGGTGAAGGTAGAGATGGAGGTGGAGATGTTGAGGGTGGAGGTGGAGATGTTGACGGTGGAGGTGTTGAGGGTGAGGGTGGAGGTGTTGAGGGTGAAGGTAGAGATGGAGGTGGCGATGTTGCCGGTGGAGGTGTTGAGGTCGAGGATGGAGATGGAGGTGGAGATGTTGAGGGTGGAGGTGGAGATGTTGACGGTGGAGGTGGAGATGTTGACGGTGGAGTTGTTGAGGGTGAGGGTGGAGGTGTTGAGGGTGAAGGTAGAGATGGAGGTGGCGATCATGTCGTTCAAGCTTAGTGAGTTCTGTTGGCAATCTTGTCATGCTACCTTCGCCTGGCAATCATTAATATTTTGCTCTCACTGTTAAATGGATTGATTTAACACAGAGTTTAGAGTTTCTTTACAAATTCAGATTTTGTTATAAAAATCCGTTAACCGATAAGTGATTTTTCTAAAGTAAAATATAAAAATGAGCTAATATATTTTTCAGAAATACTTTCCTAAGCTCGTTTAATTTGATTTACTTTCATCTCAAGAGATACCCAATGACATAATATTCATGTTGTGGATTCTTTCGGGAACTGCAGAAAACGGCCAACGTTGAAAACGGTAATTAGAAAAAAAAACGGCCCAGCATAAGCGAAAACGGCCAAAAGGGTTAATGAAAACGGCCAGCTTGGAGAATACGACACCCACGAATGGTGTAAACGGCCTGTGTACTCTATAACGTTTTAATAGTGGTGTACTTTGTTGGACTATCAATTGCTTTTAATATTGTGATTGTATTTCAGTTAGAAGATTAAACTTGTTACTCATCTTTAAAAACCGACAGTGAAATGGTTTCTGCCGAACTTTGACTGATCCATTGTATAAAGTTCACCTTGAATGAGAAGATCTCGTTTCAGTGCTTTTATTGTAGAAGCTAGCTAGCTATAATACTTGTTATTTCTTTTTCTATTATAAATCCACAGGCCGTTTTCACTAAATGTTGTTGCCGTTTTCACTGAACCTATTGGCCGTTTTCTTCCATGCAGTAGCTGTTTTCACAAACCCCATTGGCCGTTTTCAATAACCCTATTGGCCGTTTTCTTCCATGCAGTAGCCATTTTCACAAACCCCATTGGCCGTTTTCACTGACCCTATTGGCCGTTTTCTTCCATGCAGTAGCCGTTTTCACTGACCCTATTGGCCGTTTTCACTGACCCTATTGGCCGTTTTCTTCCATGCAGTGACCGTTTTCACTGACCCTATTGGCCGTTTTCAATAACCCTATTGGCCGTTTTCTTCCATGCAGTAGCCATTTTCACAAACCCCATTGGCCGTTTTCACTGACCCTATTGGCCGTTTTCTTCCATGCAGTAGCTGTTTTCACAAACCCCATTGGCCGTTTTCAATAACCCTATTGGCCGTTTTCTTCCATGCAGTAGCCATTTTCACAAACCCCATTGGCCGTTTTCACTGACCCTATTGGCCGTTTTCTTCCATGCAGTAGCCGTTTTCACTGACCCTATTGGCCGTTTTCACTGACCCTATTGGCCGTTTTCTTCCATGCAGTGACCGTTTTCACTGACCCTATTGGCCGTTTTCAATAACCCTATTGGCCGTTTTCTTCCATGCAGTAGCCATTTTCACAAACCCCATTGGCCGTTTTCACTGACCCTATTGGCCGTTTTCTTCCATGCAGTAGCTGTTTTCACAAACCCCATTGGCCGTTTTCACTGACCCTATTGGCCGTTTTCTTCCATGCAGTAGCCGTTTTCACTGACCCTATTAGCCGTTTTCTTCCATGCAGTGACCGTTTTCACTGACCCTATTGGCCGTTTTCACTAACCCTATTTGGCGTTTTCTTCCATGTAGTAGCTGTTTTCCCTAATTGCGCAGTGGCCGTTTTCAACGTTGGCCGTTTTCATTAGGACCCATTCTTTCTGAATGGTCAAGCACCGACTATTTGCCATTTGTTCCGCCCTGACTTTGGATCAAACAGACCTGGAATAAAACAGTAGTTTAACCGGAGATGACAAACATGAAGACGGCATTCGGTTAATTACAAGAGGCTTGAGCAGCGTATGGGTCGAGTCTTCCTCCCCACCTGTGTATACACCCACTAAACCCACACCCAAAGTTCACAGTAAAGATGATCGCTTGTTTAACGTTTCTCATATCGCCTAAAGTACAATATTAGGACCCTTGCCGTTAGTTTGCTATCGTCTGACCCAATATTGCCAAGCTCATGCACAAGATAAACGCCCCAAAATAATGATGTTACGAGCACTCTCGAACCCAGTGTCACTCCTGCATATCGAGTTCTGCGAGAGGAGGTTTGGCATTGGACAGTGTAGTCTACTGAGATATTTATTTTACAGTAGACGCCGTGGGGGTGTTGCAGATAGATCTCCACACACCAGCGAGTCTCCTTCACAGCAAAGTGCACAGTTAATGGGCAAAGCGAATCGGAGTGGACCAATTACACATACAGGAGAGCATGCCATGTGCTCTGACTTATAGCATAGTGTTTTCTCTATTGTGAAATCGGTACTTCCTAGTCTGTTTGGAACTTGTAGTGTCATAAAGGCGTTGACCTCTTTCTGCTTTTTACAACCATTTGATCGCAGCATCACAACTGATACAGCTGGCCCACAATTTCAAAGTTTAGCATGAACGTCAGCATGTAACAGATTTGTAAAGGTATTTTATGCGACTGAAGCATTCCTTAAACTCCTGAATGCAGTTCTACCTAATTATTGTCGATATATCTCTTTGTATCAAGCTAGTTGGCTGTCTGTCTCTCTGTAATGGCGCTCCCCTTGTAACACATGTAATCAAAGTATTTGTGAATGTGGAACTTAGGAGAAGTTGGAAGAAGTTACGTTTATATGTTACGTGGCTTATCATTGGGCGTGTAAAGTTACGATTGTGTTTTCATTAGGGGACGACGTTACGTTTATATGTTACGTCAGTTATAATTGGGCGTGTAAAGTTACGTTTTTGTTTTCATTTGGGGACGACGTTACGTTTATATGTTACGTGGATTATTAGTTGGCGTGTAAAGGTACGTTTTTGTTTTCATTAGGCGACGACGTTACGTTTATATGTTACGGCAGTTATTATTGGGCGTGTAAAGTTACGATTGTGTTTTCATTAGGGACGACGTTACGTTTATATGTTACGTCAGTTATTATTGGGCGTGTAAATTTACGATTGTGTTTTCATTAGGGGACGACGTTACGTTTATATGTTACGTCAGTTATTTTGGGGCGTGTAAATTTTCGATTGTGTTTTCATTAGGGGACGATGTTACGTGGGTTATTACTGGGCGTGTAAAGATACGTGTTTGTTTTCATTAGGGGACGACATTACGCTTATATGTTACGTCAGTTAATATTGGGCGTGTAAAGATACGTTTGTGTTTTCATTAGGGACGACGTTACGTTTATATGTTACGTCAGTTATTATTCGCCGTGTAAAGTTACGATTGTGTTTGCATTAGGGACGATGTTACGTCAATATGTTACTTGGGTTAGTGTTGGGCGTGTAAAGTTACGATTGTGCTTTCATCAGGGACGATGTTACGTTTATATGTTACGTCAGTTATCATTGGGCGTGCAAAGTTACGATTGTGTTTTCATTAGGGACGACATTACGTTTATATGTTCCGTCTGTTAATATGGGCGTGTAAAGATACGTTTTTGTTTTCATTAGGGGACGATGATACGTCTATGTGTTACTTGAGTTATTATTGGGCGTGTGAAGATCTGTTTTCATTAGGGGACGATGTTACGTCTATATCTTACGTGGGTTATTATTGGGCGTGTAAAGTTACGATTGTGTTTTCATTAGGGGACGACTTTACGTTCATATGTTACGTCTGTTAATATTGGGCGTGTAAAGATACGGTTTTGTTTTCATAAGGGGACGATGTTACGTCTATGTGTTACTTGGGTTATTATTGGGCGTGTAAAGATACGTTTGTGTTTTCATTAGGGGACGATGTTACGTCTATATGTTACGTGGGTTATTATTGGACGTGTAAAGATACGTTTTTGTTTTCATTAGGGGACGATGTTACGTCTATATATTACGTGGGTTAGTATTGGGCGTGTAAAGGTACGTTTGTGTTTTCATTAGGGGACGATGTTACGTCTATATGTTACGTGGGTTATTATTGGGCGTGTAAAGATACGTTTGTGTTTTCATTAGGGGACGATGTTACGTCTATATGTTACTTGGGTTATTATTGGGCGTGTAAAGTTACATTTTTGTTTTCATTAGGGGACGACGTTCCGTTTATATGTTACGTGGATTATTAGTTGGCGAGTAAATGTACGTTTTTGTTTTCATTAGGGGACGATGTTACGTCTATATGTTACGTGGGTTATTATTGGACGTGTAAAGATACGTTTGTGTTTTCATTAGGGGACGATGTTACGTCTATATGTTACGTGGGTTATTATTGGACGTGTAAAGATACGTTTTTGTTTTCATTAGGGACGACGTTACGTTTATATGTTACGTCAGTTTTCATTGGGCGTGCAAAGTTACGATTGTGTTTTCATGAGGGACGACGTTATCTTTATATGTTACGTCAGTTATTATTGGGTGTGTAAATTTACGATTGTGTTTTCATTAGGGACGACGTTACGTTTATATGTTACGTCAGTTATTTTAGGGCGTGTAAATTTTCGATTGTGTTTTCATTAGGGGACGATGTTACGTGGGTTATTACTGGGCGTGTAAAGATACGTTTGTGTTTTCATTAGGGGACGACATTACGTTTATATGTTACGTCAGTTAATATTGGGCGTGTAAAGATACGTTTGTGTTTTCATTAGGGACGATGTTACGTTTATATGTTACGTCTGTTATTATTGGCCGTGTAAAGTTACGATTGTGTTTGCATTAGGGACGATGTTACGTCAATATGTTACTTCGGTTATTGTTGGGCGTGTAAAGTTACGATTGTGTTTTCATTAGGGACGATGTTACGTTTATATGTTACGTCAGTTATCATTGGGCGTGCAAAGTTACGATTGTGATTTCATGAGGGGACGACATAACGTTTATATGTTACGTCTGTTAATATTGGGCGTGTAAAGATACGTTTTCGTTTTCATTAGGGGACGATGTTACGTCTATGTGTTACTTGGGTTATTATTGGGCGTGTAAAGATAGGTTTTTGTTTTCATTAGGGGACGATGTTACGTCTATATATTACGTGGGTTAGTATTGGGCGTGTAAAGGTACGTTTGTGTTTTCATTAGGGACGACATTTCTTTTATATGTTA